GTTAAGTAAAAAAGACGACAGTGACTTGATAATATTTTCTGGTGACCGAGTCGTTCGGTTTAAATTTTACTCTGGTATGAGAATGAATATGTTTGTTTGATCCCATTGTGTAGAAGTTTCTTTAATTAAGGTATTTTCCCCCATTGATTATATATTACACGGGTCTTATATACATTTCATTTTATTTTTACCTATGTCATACATGTAGATGAAAGGGATGATAGACTTGAGGTAGGCGATCCTGTAAGCAGTGGCGTATATTCCTATCGGCTAATGTGTAGGCTAGTGAGAAGTCACAGATTTAACCTAGGGCGCAAAGTGTGGATAGGCAAAGAGGTCGCCCCCATTCGATAGGGATTGGGGGAACGATTGGGGGGGGGGGGTTGTTCGTTGGGAGCTTTTTTGCGAAGACATCTACGATTGTCATGTACAATTTGACAAGTGAAAATAATATTGTAAACATTTTTTTTTTTCAGTTTATATCATGATATGAAGACTACTTAACAAAATTGAGAACTTTTAACTTATTTTTACTCTACTTAGAAATTATGGAAACTTCCTTACTGAATAATCTAAATACGATCAATACATTTAATTTCCTACTAACCCAAAAATATATTTCCAGTAATATTAATTTCATTTCCTGCACTAATCGTGGCCTCCTGATGCTGTCGATGGTTATGAAATTGTTTGATATAGACTTAATAAACACTTGAGTTTCGGATTTAAAAAATTCCATCTAGAGGAAGTTTTGTCATTAAATTTATAGTAAAACTGTCAGATAGGTATAAAAGTACGGATTGCTAAGAATGCTATTTTGGCATTTTCAACAAAATAAAATTAATAGATAAGAATTATTATCATCTTTTCTTCCCTTTTTTCCAACCAAATTTTTATCCCTAAGAAAATGATGTGTAGGCTATATACAGCCTTTTTGCCGATATGGAATATACGCCACTGGTAAGGAAGATAAATTAAGTCCAAATATATATTAGGTTTAAATATCATAAAAATAAATATTTTAATGACCGGGCGATTTAATATTTTTAGTTCATTTAACGGTAGTAACAATTTTTTTAAAGTGCATTAGAAAATCAGAAAAAATAGTATCGCAGAAGAGCGACAGTAAGTTAGATAACCGCGAGGTAATGGAAATACTATAGTATTTTCAGTCTAAGTGGATTAACTATGTTGAAAAAACACTTAATGACTGTGGAATGTGCGAGTTATGGTTGCAACAGTATTCGCCAAAGAAAATTTTGGTGTCAAAATTGGTAGAAAACTAGATTAATTGATCATTTTAAGTAGAATTGGTATGCCATTTGAATGTCTAGTCCTTGAATAATGACGTCACAAATTGCGTCATTATTCCCAAAATATGAATATTTCTTAAAAAATGACCAAAAGTTAAAGCTCTCTTTCAATATTTTGCATACGGCCCAACCTCTGATCTAAAATATGCAATTGTATGATGAAAGATTGGTTTTTAAAATTATATATAAAAAAACGTTTCATTTTTATGATCGTACGATGGCCGACAGCGGCCGCCACTTTCTGATTAAGAATATTGTCATTTTGTACAGCGTTTTTGTCAATTTTCGTTGACATATTACAACTAAAGTGGTAACGCTATATGTACATGTACACTTTTTACACTGACAATTTACACCAGCGAAAAACATTAAAATTCTTTCGTGTGATATGAAATTAAGATACATAAAACAGGTGGCTTGAAAGAGATAAGGAGCATTTTAATGATTTTCACCCTCAATTAGTCTGAGATATCGTAACCCAGTTACCGGTAATCCTAGATTAGACATATATCGTCATTCTGTCACCTTGTTGTATCATTAAAAAGATATTCTTGGGATTGTAATTAAAAAGGCGAATAAAAGTAATACATTTGTTGTAATGGATATACATGAATATAATGTATATGTCTCGATCCTCAAAGTGTATGAGACAACTCGATTCTACCTACCGGTATTATGTAGAGGTAGAAAAACAGGATTTAGTAGCTCTACATGTGAACATCCAATCAAAAGTTTATGGAATGTATCAAAAACCAAACTTTAGATACGGAAATATGCCCGTTTTTAAGCAAGAATAAAATGACAACCTTAAATGTTGGAGTCTGTGTTTGCTTTCTAAATACATAAAATTAGTAACTAAATGCTTGAAACACTTTTAAAGGCCAACGCAACCTCTCAAGACTTCCACCTGGTCGGCCAATTATTTTTCAATGTGGCACGGGAATGAAAATATAGGTACATGTAACTAATGTGATCATTTCCTCGTGCGCATTGTGTAAAAAACAAAATTCATACATCAAAGACACGTCCGATTATGAACAAAATCAAATTTCTGATAGACCTGGAAAATTTCATCCTGGTTACCTATGATGTGACCAGCAGGTACACCAACATGGAATTTTATGAATTAATTACTATAATCTGTCGAGAAAGCATATCTAGAAGACAATACTAATCTGTAATCACCCCGACCTTGCTGTTCTGCTAGAACCTTAAGCTTATCACCTTCAAGTAACCTGTTTTATGTATCTTCATTTCATATTACAAGAAAGAATTTTAATGATTTTCTCCAGTGTAAATTGTCAGTGTAAAAACTGTATATGGACATATAGCATTACCAGTTTAGTTGTAATTTGTCAACGAAAATTGACAAAAAAGCTGTACAAAATGACAATATTCAGAATCAAAAGTGGCGGCCGCTGTCGGCCATCGTATGATCGAGTTGTGGGCTCATATCTAATTCCTTGTTGGAGATACTTTAATTACTCATGTTTTCTTTAAAATCAAAGAACATTGTAATGACAAAGCCTATTTTCCAATTTCTTGGACTAGGAAATTTGATTAATTTTTAGGAAATGAAACGCTAATCATCTGTTTTAATTAAATTGAATTTGAAATAAGTTATAGGGCGTTGGTCAATTAATTGGTATATAGATAGGGTCATTTTATGCATGAAATATGGAGTATTCAAGCTAAAAAGACTATTGAAATAATACACTTCGGGAGCAGAGCAAACACTTACCTCTATAAAACATTAGAGGTGGGATCAGGTGCCTTGGAGGAGTAAGCCTGTCCACTTTTTACACCCGGCGTGTGCTCATTGTCATGATCGGGCAAACGGAAAAATCCGTAGACAATTCAATGTGTAAAAAATGGCCTAACAATGAATATGAAAAACGAAGTCATCATTCGACTTAATGATAGATTGTATTTGCTGAAAAAATCATTGTATCGACCATAGAACTTGCGAAATGATGACTTAAACGAGACTATCGATATCCTCGTTTCGTCAACTTGTTTGTCAATAGCTTGCCTCGTTTTAGAGGTTATTGTTCGTACGTGGAACATGCTCTTGCATTACGAATGAACTGGGAGATATAAACCCCATATGCAGGATGAAAGGATATATTGCTACACGTTTATCATATCTTTTTTTTGTTAGGTTACCATTAACGTCTTTTTCTAGTAAAATATTCAAATATAAACAGATGTGTCAGACTCTGTGACATCTGTTATTTCAAGTTCACTGGGATATATCGAATCGACATTTGAAGTAACTATTGTTAACAGATAATACTTCGTCGATATATCTAAATGTCGAGTTGAATGCCACAGCAAGTGTCGTCTTCTTCTCATGTATACGTTTTTGAATAAATTCTGCTTCATATAAATACAAATAACTGGGCACAATTGTTTAAAGAGAACCTAGCTCGCCTTAGAGTCAGGTCCCAAACAGAATGTTTAAATCTGTCTGATTTATATGTGATTTTTACAAATACCTTAACACAGTTTTCGACTGATTTGAGTCATACTGCATATTTACTGAACAATACACCCCTTTGTACCTTGATTCAAAATTTAACGAACCATGAAGACTGCTGGAGTTCGACAGTAACGTGTTCTCAAAAATTATTCCTGGCCCCAACACCATAAACTGAGAACAGACTTAAGTCAAAATTTAGATTTTGAATATTTTGATTTTAATTCAACAAACATGTTTGAAAAGTTGCAGGTTTGTAAAATACTTAAATAAAAACATTCACTGAAAATTTGGTTTTGTTTCCTTGATCACTTCCAGAGTTATACAGAACTGAAATTTTGACTTAAGTCTGTTCTCAGTTTATGGTTTGGGGGCCTGTACTTTTTTTTTTACCTGCCTCGTAAACGGCGACTGTAAGTCTAGTAATCTCTACATTTCACACATATTGCATGACACGCGAGAGGGGGAGGGGGGTTACATACATGTATATCTACTTTGTATGACAGACAGACAGAGGCACAGGCAGACAGACAGACGGACGGATGGACAGACATAGAGGAAACCTATAGTCCCCTCCGGTTTCACCGGTAGGGGACTAACAAGCATTCTGAGAGTATTGCATTAGCAATACTAGTCCCATACCGGGAAGGGCGGTGACAAATGTACAAGGTTTAATATAAAGAGATGAAGGAAGAAATTTCCCCACTTTCTTCTTGTATTATTAGTCCCCTACCAGTGAAACCGGAGGGGACTATAGGTTTCCTCTGAGTCTGTCCGTCCGTCTGTCTGTCTGTCTGTCCCTCTGTCTGTCTGTCCCACTTTGTTTTCCGCACTTTTTTCCTAAACGCTTGCAGATATTGAGCTGATTTTTGGTACGTGAGTGTATCTTGATGAGTTACAGATCAAGTTTGCATTTCGTTCCGCTTCATTGATTTTTGAGGGAATTACGGCCTTTTCAGTTTTTAAGGGTTTTCCGCAATTTTCTTCTAAACGCTTTCAGATATTGAGCTGATTTTTGGTATATGACTTTACCTTGATTAGTTATAGATCAAGTTTGCATTTCGTCCCGCTTCATTCATTTTTGACGGAATTATTGCATTTTCAATTTTTAGAGGGAACCAGATTACACTTGCCGGTATGGGACTAGTATTGCCAATGCAATACTCTCAGAATGCTTGTTTAACTTGGTGGTTAATTTTTTACAGAATTCAAATAACAACCTACAATGACCACGTATGAAGTTAGAGTGAAGACTGGGGATAAACTGGGCGCGGGGACAGACGCTAACACAGAAATCGTCCTACTTGGTAGCTCAGGAAAGCAGACAGAACCTGCTATTCTTGATAATTGGTTTAAAAATGATTTTGAACGTGGCAATACAGATGTTTTCACCATTCAAGACAAAACAGATATTCCTGAAGTAACTGAAATCAAGTTGCGAAGAAACAAAGCGGGTTTGTTCAGCGATTGGTTTGTCGAAAAGGTTGAAGTAACCAACCAGAAGAGCGGAAAGAATAGTGTTTTTCCAATACTTCGGTGGATTCGCCCTGATGTTGATCTCTATTTTGGACGACATGATGTCTCTCTGCCACAGTTTGATCATCGACCACAACAACGCAGTGCTGAGCTGGAGGAGAAAAGGAAGCTCTATGAGTATGAGGAGAAAGCCCCAGGATTACCCGTACAGGTACAAATGGAAACCTTTCATCATAAAAGAATATGTTTATGTATATTTTATAAAGTAAAATATTCTTTATTGACTCTTACAATTATAGGTTAAAAATATCCCTGAGGATGAAGTGTTCTCTTCTTCTTACAAGGTAGGTTAAACTATTACATTATTTCTGATTTCTTTACAATCTCTATAGATGATCAAACAATTATTCATTAATTTCATCATTTTTTATACACATGCATTTCTACTGGATTTATGAGATTGATTGATTGTATTTTGTTTTACGTCCCGTTCGAGAATTTTTCACTCATACAGAGACCTCACCATATACCAGTGAAGGGCTTCAAACTAAGACCTTTACTCGGCACTCAGGACCATTGAGCAGTGAGGTGTATTTATCTGGATTCACGAAAAATATGTATATTTGTATCAACAAGTCGCTTTAGTGATTCAACTTCACGTTGCTTTATGTTGTGCGATATAATTTGAAAAATAAACTAATTAAAAATTGTGTATTTCTTTCCTGTAAAAATAATGACGATACAAAAAATGATACAAGAATTCCACGGAATACTAAATATAATTTTCAATCTTGAAACAACATTGTATGACATGGAAAATATTTGTACCAAAAGGGGGATTGAAACACAAAGACACTTCTAAGAACGTACGGATAAACGAGCCCTAACTAGCCACTCGTTTGCTTCTCTAAAATTGTAGCTACACTACTATACCACGGAACTGATGTCGATTCAGTAGAATTACGTAGAATGTTGTGAAGTACCATTTGAATCAGGTACTCAATTTTTAGGTCATCTGATTCACTCAGATGAACTATGGAGGGGCTATACAGATCATATAGTGAAAGTACATTATTTCTTTGAAAATCTTCTCTGCTTCTGGATATAAAACAGAGTTATGATGAGCAAGGTTGCCTCTTTCAAAATTTTGAAATTTATGGCTCCTGGGTCAGGGGTTCTGGTGTTAGAGCGGGGTTCTATATTATATAGTGAAAATGCATTAATTCTTTAAAAATCTTCTTCTCTGCTCCTGGGCATTAAACAGACTAACTAAGTACATAGTTATGATAAGCATGAGTGCCTCTTCCAAAATTATGAAATTCATGGTCCCTGGATTAGGGGTTCTGCTGTTTGGATGAGCTGTATTGATTATATAGTGAAAATGCATTAATTCTTTGAAAATCTTCTCTGCTCCTCGGTATTATTTAAACAATCTAAGTGCTTGGTTATGATGAGCAAGGATGCCTCTTCCAAAACTGTGAAATGCACATGGCCCCAGATCGAAGGTTCTGCTGAAAGAGGAGCTCTACTGATTATATGGTGAAAAAAGCATAATTTCTGAGAAAATATTCTTTTCTGCTCCTGGTTATAAAGCAAAGAAACTAAGTGTATAGTCATGATGAGCAAGAGAGCTTCTTCCAGAATTGTTTCATGGCCCCCAGGTCAGATGTTCTGGTGTAAGGGTGGGGTTCTATTGATAATATAGTGAAAATGCATTAATTCTATCAAATAATTCTGTCTGCACCTTAGTATTGAGCAGATAAAAAAAAGTACATAGCTACGATGAGAAAGCTTGAGGGTGCTTCTTCAAAATTTTTAAAACTTGTGGTCCCAAGATCAGGGGTTCTGGTAATTCTCGGGGGGATCTATCGATAATATAGTGAAAATGTCTTAATTCTTTGAAAATCTTCAACTAAGTGTATAGTTATGATGATGAAAAGCAGGTACCTCTTCCAAATTCGTGAATTTCATAACCCTGGATCATGGGTTTTGTTATAAGGGTAGGGCTTTGTTGAATATGTAAAATACAATGAGACAAAAATAACTTACTAGTATCATGTTAATTGTTCTTCAGAGACCAAGAAAGGTGAGAGGTAATGATACGGGGTTAAAAATAGTACAGAAGCACTAATAAGTTGTTAATATCTGCATGGTGATTAGTGATAAATGAGGGACAGATTATAACTTAATTTTTGAGTTGTTACTGAATACTAGACTAATTATTTCATTGATCCTGATCATCCTATTTCTCTTGCTTTTGGGCAACAGAGCCTCATATATATAAGTTTTATTTATACTCTGTGGATCCTCTTAATTGTTGTATTACACTCAGATAGCCGTGAAGGCCCTTGGACCTCTTGTTTTGTAATAAACTTTCATAGAAATCTTAAGGAGTCTTCGTGGCAAGGTCGAAAAAAATCACTTTATTGTATTAGGATCGCGAGGTGATTTAACTTTTTATGAAAAGGATGCAACCGCAAGTGTATTCGAGCACAGCTCTCCTGTGGTTAATATGTCACCCCTGTTATTTTCTCACTTCCTGGTAATCAAGTGTTAGATTTACAAGACAGTCATTACTAATACACATGCTCTCTCTCTCTCTCTCTCTTTCTCTCTCTCTCTCTCTCTGTTTTAATTTGACCAAAGAGATATTACTCTACTAATCAGGAAATGATTTTCAAAGCATTCATACGTGACGTTATTCCGTTTAAAATAGTAAATGCTCACGTAAACAAAGATCCTTTGGATGGGTTGATGTCATGTGTTTACTTTCACAGTGAATAGGATAATGTGACATGTGTATACTAATACATAAAACCATGACATTGCAGCTTCGCTAGAACGTGTAACTAAACAATCTGGCAGTATCGATTGATTATTCATATTGCAAATCAACAGAAGGTCTGAAAATTCTTATTAGGGTATGAATTTGTGTATGAACACAGTTTACTAAATATGGTTTTCCCCCAAATACATTTGTCAGGGTAATTGTTTGCACATTTCACTTTCAAAATTGCTTTCCAAACGCCTTTTAAATTCATTTTAACGTAATTCAGAAATAATAAAAAAAAAAAAAAAGAGAAAAAAGTTCCACCAGCAAAAATTACAGAATCAGGCACATAATCATGCTTTCACCATCACAGTTTGACCTGCTTAAAAGGAAATACACTCTAAAGGCGGGTAAAACGTTTGAGATGATTTTTGGTGATGGATCATGGAAAACTTTAGATGACTTGACAGGTGTCTACTCAGAAACATTTGGAGAACCTAAGGTAACACAGCAGTTGGTATCTTAGCATTGCTTTGGACTAAAGCACATGAAATTTTTTATTGCCTCCAAACTGTAGATAAATATTCAGAGGGTTTTAATTATTTAAAATGAATTGTAGTATTATGTTTTGAATATCCATAGAAAAAATAGGGAAATGTTTCCTCTGAATCTTGTGATCTGTACCCTGTCAGTATGTCAAGGTCTTCAGTATGATATTTTAATTATTTTCTGAAGATTTCATGTAAAATGTCTCGATTTTTTAAGTATAAGTAAAACACATGATTTATCGGTTTTCTACGGTCATAGCAATCACTCTGTCTACATACAGAATATTATTCAGAACAGTAAAAAAAAATGTAATATTGATAGAAATGGTGCATCATTGAACTCCTTTATTTTTATGCTTAAAGAATTATTTAAATTAATTACATGTAGAGTTTAATTTATCATGACTAACTTTTCCAATTTTCTTTAAATCAATCAGGGGATGCAGGATTGGAAGAGTGACGTAAGTTTTGGATGGCAACGAATAAACAGTGTCAACCCTAATCTGATTCGGCTCTGTACACATATACCAGACAAGTATGGGGTTGTTTTTAATTAACTTGCTTATCTAAAGATATAATTAAAACAATGTTTTTCTGTTTAGTAGAGATTGTACGTGTAAACAAGAACAATAATCTTGTTTCCTGGTTACTGTTAAAAAATACAATGGTAATATTTATTATTTAAAATTAAATTCCATTCAGATTTGGGGTGACAGAGGAAATGATCAAACCTTTCCTAGAGGGCCTGACTTTATCCCAAGCTATCAACGACAAGCGTTTGTTCATCATTGATCTGGAAATATTGGATGGAATTTCTCTAGTCGAGGGCTATGTTGTAAGTTAAAATATTGCACCAGTAAACTACCTCGTAGACTTGGCAAACATTTAAAATTTTCAAAAAAAAAAAAAAAAAAAAAAAAAAAAAAAAAAGAAAAGAAAAATACATGCGTAATCCAGCAAATTTGCATTTTCTTCAGAGTATCAAGTGTCTTCTTCAGAACAGCATCAACTTAGAAAGGTTTTACATGTATATGTCCAAATGCAAAACATGATTATCGTTACATATCTGTAAAACTTACATGTATTTACATTAATATATTCAAAATTCAACTTAGATTTACTTCCCAGATCATTGTCTCTACGTGCATTGTATGTGTAAAGTACACGGGCATAAGTATTTGTTAGAGTTTCCCTTGTATGACTCTTTTTAAATAATGTTTATCTTTTACTAGATGGATGAATTTTGTCAGATGACCGCGGTATAATTTGAGAGATCAAAAATGCTTAATGCAATTGTACACTGACTTCATGAAAAAAATTCAACTTATACTGCCGACTTTTGAAAATTATGTGTTTTTAACGTTTAACCGCGCAGATATTTATTGCACATGTGTAAATATAAGTAATAAGGTATCATTTACCCTTTTAAGGTGTATAAATAGATACAGACTGATACCAAATCTATACCATGAAATCATTTAGGCTTTATGAAATGTGATCAAATGACCGACATAAACCCTAAATTTAGTACTGTGACAAATCGCCAATGGCCCCAAAATAGGAATGTCGCGAAAATAGGTAAACGAGCGATATTCATTATAGTGTCACTGTGTAAAAGCCATTTATATTGATGCATCCATCAAATAGGATTTAAGAACGGCTTAAAAGATGAATGCTTCTATATATTTAAATGTTCTCACTCTGAAATTTGCAGTGTCCAATTCCCATCGCCCTCTTCTTTGTTAACAGTAAAGATCAGTTAATGCCAATAGCGATACAACTTTTTCAACAGAAGGGACCAGACAATCCTGTAAGAACATTTCTTTATACGTCAACAACTGCTTAATTAAGCTTCAAGAGGAAAATTAACTGTATTGAAAAATGATACTGAAATCTATACTGAAAGCCCGTCCTTTGAAATATGTTAGTGTATACTAAATTTCAGGTGTTTCTACCCACTGATCCACCTTATACATGGTTGATGGCCAAAATGTGGTACAACATTGGTGACTCAAATTATCACCAAGCGATAACCCATCTAGGTAGGATAGTGTGAATTCTTTAAAGTTAAAGCATATTAATCACCGTAAATACATTCAGTATAATGCTGTCTTTGTAGTCTGCTTATCATGAAAAGTGAAAAATGGTACACATTCGTGATTCTTTGTTGTCTAGCATGTCTTAAGTACCTCTGCGCCCCTAATACCCCCATCCCCCAGAAAGAAAAGATGCGAAAATTTAAATTGCTAATGTGAGTTCGTTTTTCAACAATAGAAGACCATATTCTGATATCAAAATAATTGATATATTAGAGTAAGAAAAGTTGTTATTGATCGTTGTCGGGTGTTATAAGACAGCCAAGTATATTTAATTTTCCTTTGAAATAAATAAAGAAAAAAAAACAAAAACAAGAGATACTATCTAGAATATGCGTTAATGTTTATCAATTATCGGTAAATGTAATAAAATTATTTGTAATCAATTATATTTAGGCTATACACATCTAGTTGTGGAAAGCGTGTGCGTAGCAGCCAACAGATGTCTGTCGCCTTCACATCCAATGTTTAAACTGTTGGCTCCACATCTTCTCTACATTATTGCGATCAATGAGTACGTATACTTTATCCTGTTTTATAGAAATGAATTTTTATGTAGATTATGCATATACTTAATTTAAAAGATTTCCATAAACACGATTCATGGTCCAGTAAAACACGAGAAATTTCTCTGGAAACAATGCAACAAAATTAAAAGGGTTGTCCGATGAAATCGTAGAAAAATTGTCAAAGGTGAAAAATAATAAATACGCGTTCTAAAATTTTCACTACGCTTTAGTACATTTTCATCAAGTGAATATAAATACCAAGTTGTAAACTGATTAATGCTCAAGTAAACAAAATATCAGATTTTATATTATATGTGGTATCTTTCGGTACAAGGATGATAACGTCGAAGTGTCTACAGCTATGTCATGTTTCATTTTTGCTGAAAAAAGTTGGATCGCCCACTTAAATTCTGGAACTTAACTGATGCATACACTTGAGTTCCCCTTTATTCCTCCATAAACAGGCGAGGGACCAAATTAGCACACACGAGGCCTACTGGAAATTTTTCTATAGATATGTATGGACAGTAATCTCACTGTATTCAAATATATAGGCAGTAATTTTCGGTGGTTTGCAGTGATAGCGTCTTTCGCTATTGCCAGTGGTTGTTCGTCCGTATGTTTTGTTCTACTCTGGGAATCGATGAAAAATCTTCCATCTTAAAAACGTCCATTCCACTTGTATACTAAACATCTGGTAACTTATTTTTAACTTCTTTTAAACTTCTATTATCATTTAAAGTTTTTAAAAAGGTCATTACTAGACGTATGTAAAACTGAACTGCTCTCCAGTGCGTCTTAACGTCATCAAACGTCGCCATTTTTAGTGTGTTGTTTTTACCACTTTCCTATTTCAAATAAATGGGAAACTGACGAAAATTAAGCAAATGCCTTGACATTTTTCATATGACGACCTAATAGATAGTGACTTTAAAAAATTATAATATTTTCCACAACTTTATCAATATATGTAATTCTTTCATTTCGAAATAATACTCGCGGTTCTCTGATATATCGCTGATTTTTTTTTATCGTAAACCTTAGGACCATGCCGTATGCGCATTCAAGTATAATAAAATCCTTATTATTGTGAATAAAGAAAACTTTAACCGCGATTTCACCGGACCACCCTCATAAATAAGTCTGTGCTGTAAAGGTTTCCAAACTGGCTAACTTTCTCTTTTTTGGCACGTGAAATCTTTCCAAATGTTTTAGATTCTGCCGTTTTCAACGGTACAATGTCTCATTCAATTTCATTCCTCCATATATAACTAAAAAAGTGTCCATGAAACATTTGATTAATTATCTTTTTGAATATTATCAGCCGTGCTCTTGGCTACCTTGTATCTCCTGGAGCATGGATTGATAAAACAATGGTGGTTGGAAGCAAGGGTGTTTTGGAGCTCAGTGCAAAAGGGTGAGTTTATTAAGGATTTTTGTTTTCATGTTTTCATCGGTTATTTCCAATACTATCACTCTTCTCGAGAAAGAGATCAGTAAGTATCCGGTTATTGTTCTCTTTCACGGTGAATTTTCATGTGACGTGAGACATTCAGATAAACTATTACCACATACTTCCGAGCGTCTGCGTCCACTACATGTGACGGTACATATTGTCTTTGTGTACCTATTGTATGCACCTATCCTCACTCCACATATTGTCGTCTATCGGCACGTATTGTTGCCGACCGAAAAACTATACTTGTACATATTGTTGCTGGCGATGTTATATGCCTACCGCCACTGTACATATTGTCACCTCACAGGCCTGCGTAAGGATTTTTTTTTTTTATAGTTTTGTGAATGCAAATGGTGTGTAAATCACAAGACGTGTCTCGTAGCTTATTATTAATGCAGCGCGATTGTGACAGTACATTTTGTCCTCCTGTCCATATTGCCGCCGGCGACGATATTTACCTACCCTCATTGCATATATTCTCGTCCATCGGTACATATTATCGTAGGCTGCAAATTATACATGTACATGTTGTCACCCCAATGTTAGAGTTACAGTAATATGAATGATGATATTAATGATGAAGATGTTATCGAAAATTATACTCTAAATTATATTTAATAAACATGAGTATTAGTAATAATGTGAAGAAGAAAATGGTGCAAAAAACATGATGAATATAATTCATTAAAAAGGTCAGGAATCTCTCTCTCTCTCTCTCTCTCAAAATATGCAAATGTTCACAGTACATATTGTCGCTGACGACAATATTCCCTATGTGTGATTGTACATTTTGTCATCCATTCTACAGGAGGAAAAAGGCGCGACTCGATATATATTGTATCCGGTGACAATATGTCCCGATGGGCGATAATATGTACAGTGAGGGTAGCTACTAGCTAGCTGCAGAACTGTAGCTCTCTGCTTGAAAAACTTCGGACTGCTTTATCTGTCCGAATTTTCTCAAGCAGAGAGCTACAGTTCTGCAACTAAGTAGCTACATATTGTCGCCGACGACAATATGTACTGTCCTTGCTTCGTTGAACTAAAACCAACAAGAGATCTGCCAATTTTTATAATTTTTATAATCTTTATAATTTGACATTAAGGAGGTAAAGCATTTTCATGTTTATTTGACATGAGACATCAGCCTTCTACAATAATTGCTAAATTCATGGCCCTTTGATCCAGAGTTCAAGGGTTTGTTTAGTAATATATTGGGAATTCATTGTAGCTATGAAAATATTTTCTCGTGAACAATTTTCCATGAGCCAATTTGCTTTACCGGTAGAACAATTAATTGTCTACCTTATTGAAAACTTCATGACTCATGTGTCCAGTGCAATGATCTAAGAAGGGACAGAGTTGGTCTTTAAACTATATATTTGAAAATCGTTTCTTCTGATTGTCAGACAAGGATATAATAACAGCTACCAGTTTATATATTGTAAAATTACTTTCCTCGTGAGGTCAAAGATTCGTGGGTTGAGGAAGATATTGGTTCTTTGGGGGTATGGATGTCGGTAGTAGAGTGAATGTAGAGTGGAATACAGTAGTTTGAGACTTTTTACATGTTATGGAGGACATGGATTTATGTGTCTCTTCATACCATGAAAACAACGAAAATAACCCCATCACAGAAATAAGTGATATCACAGTAAATATTGAAAACAACGAAAATAACCCCATCACGGAAAAAAGTGATATCACAGTTAATATTGAACATTTCCAGATTAAGGTCCAATAAGTGATATCACAGTAAATATTGAACATTTCTAGATTAAGGCCCAATTAAGGTTGTATAGTTTTATTTATTAAAAATTATAGTTTTATTTATTAAAAATTATTTAAACTTGAAAATCACATTTTCTTCTGGACATCTAGTAAACAAACTGCATGCGAGACGACATTAAAGACTCTCTTAGCTTGAAGTTGAATACTTTTAGAACTTTTATTTTAGCGATTATAACATTTAAGCGCAATTTGTAAGACTGCGTTTTGCTTTTTTATAATTGTGCTTATAGTTAAAATGGAAGATTGTGCTCAAATTTGCACGTCCACAGTATAATTTTTCAAAAAGCATTAATGAAGGTGATCGTCAGGTACTTCTAGCTATATTCGTTCGTTCATTTAAGATGTTACCTTTGATATATGTACTTCTTTCAGGACAAGCACTTGGAGAATGGATGTAGAAGGAACGTATCCAGAATTTTTAAAACAAAGAGGGGTTTGTTACATCATATTTTCTTTCTTACTTATAAAGAGTATTTCTGAACTTATATGAGCTTATTAGAGCTTACTTTTGTACATTGTTATGGTCAAATTGCAGCAGAATACCAGTATGCGCCTTATTTTGTAAAAAAAAAAAAAAAAAATCAGCTATCGTCATCTACCGAGTGCATTTTCATAGTTTAGAAATGCACTCGGATGTACAACTTCTTGAGAGCCGTTCAGTATAATTATACTTGTGATCAGCATTAATTTCTCCAAAAATAAAAAAAAAATTGAATATTTGAAGAAAGATTGATTGTATGTTGTTTTACGTCCCATTCGATAATTTTTCACTCATAAAGAGAGGACACCATATACCGGTGAAGGGCTTCAAATTTTGACCTTTACTCGGCACTCAGGGCCATTGAGCAGTGAGGGATCTTTATCGTGCCAACGCCTGTCGTGACATGGGGTCTTGGTTTTTAAGGTCTCATCCGAAGGACCCGCAACTTTCACTTCAAAGTGCCGGGCGCCTGGCGAAGAAACAGTTGCTATCTATTTTTTATCGACCTAGGTTAGTCGCGGTCGTGATTCGAACTCACGAAACGAGCGCTCTACCGACTGAGCTACAGTTGAAGAAAAAACTTTCCGCAATTACTGGACAGTAAGCAATCTATCCCATGAAAGACTTATAGCTGCATTCTTTACTATATTAAAATATCATACACTTCATTGTTTTCAATGGGATTTCAAGGAAATTGAAAATTTATTGTATTATTTTTTATGTGAGTCAGAGAAAATTGCCACTTTTTGTAGAATAATGTGACCGCAAACAAATTTAAAAGGAGAGTAATTTTAGTAATTGCAGGTATAAAGAAAATACCTGTATGTACGTTACAATCTCCATTTCTGCAGAATTCATTCGTATGTTATGAATATTAATATTCATAACAGAATCAACGATAACGGTATTACTATTAATTCCTGAACTTTGAACAAAGAGGACTATACTTTGTCATTTTTGGTGCAATTTGGTTAAATAAAGATATTCATTCCATTAAGATGAAATAAATCAATTAACTACATCTTGTATATACCTCTAAATATGAAGTGTAAAATAGAAATTCAACATTAAAACTGTTGTGATTACTGGATATTGGTGGAATGAACGTTAAATAAAATATTACACTTTGAAAAAGAAATCTGTGAAAGAAAAAAGCCTTCCTTTTGAAATCTGTATTTTGACAGATAAGAATTTTCGGGGTTGAAAATGACCTTTATCAGCATCAAGATATTATTGGGGTTTTTTTTATCTCCAATTAGTATTACTATAGTAATGAAAGGAAATAGAGTTATGCTAGTGCTAAAACGTCTAGAAAACAATTTATTATATTTAAAGCTATTTATACTTTCATCCATACCAAGAGAATGACGATTAAATAATTTCAAATCTACTTTGACAGTTATATTGCAAGGATGGAAAAGTTCTGCCTAGATTTTACCAGCGTGACGATAGTCTTGAATTGTTTGAAGCAATTCGCAGTTACGTCACCAAATACGTCCATCTCTATTACGGTGCGTATGAATTCCTCCATTAATTTGGAGACCAAACGAAATACGTATCTAGTCAATAAATTTTAAAATGAAGGATCGTAAAATATGACATCACTCTTTGTTATGCATGAAAAAAACTAAACTTTTAAGTCATATACATTAATAGAGTAATTAATCAATGAATTAATTACTTATATAATTGTTCTTTAATACAACAGACACGAGTGATAAAATAAAGGACGATGCTGAAATTCAAAACTTTGGACGTGAATTATCAATGCCGAAGTGCAAAGGAGGTTGCGGAATTTTGGTAAGCAGTGAAGCTAATGTTTTCTATCAAATTATTTTATTCAAAAAAGTATTTTTAAAAAATGAGATTGAGCAACAGTTTATGTCAACTTTGTTGACATATAAATGTCAACAATAATTAGGTTCAATAACTCTGTATAAAACCAATCTGTCAAATCACTGGACTGTTACAATATAGTGAAAATGCAGTTATCTTTTCAAAACGTTTTCTCTGTTCAGGCAAACCAAGTACATAGTAATCATGAGCTACTGTGTTTTTATTAGATTTGTGAAATTCATTTTGATTATTCATCTATGATAATAAATAACTCATTGAGGTGACCCTTAAGGCCCTTGGGCATCTTGTTCTCATTTCTTTTCAAACATAATAATCCATATTATTTTCCTTATATCAGGGTGTTCCCTTTAAAGACGGGAAGTTCAATTCAGCAGAGCAGTTGATACTTGTCTTCACTTCCGTTATTTACACCAGTAGTGTAGCACATGCTGCTGTCAATTTTCCTCAGTACGATACATATGGATTTCCCCCCAACTATCCTACCAAAATCAAAGGAACACCCCCTAAGGATAAGGTACTTATTTGAAAAACGATATGAACACAAATAAACATTATACAAAATAAAACACCATTTCTTCAGTGATATATCTTGTATTGGAGAAGTATTAAATGATTTTTTTTAAAGTAGTTAATTTGTGTAATAATGAAAAGTGAAAATATGGCAATCTGTAAGTCATTTCTCAAGCTATTAGCCTTTATCATCATTTATAGTAAGAACTTCGGGTTATTTAGCGGTCCTACGTAACAGAGAACCTAGAGAACCTTAGAAAACTCTAGTTATGTTTGGCGAATTCAAATACATAAAATTATAATGAATTCGACGAACACCTTTTCGACAACACAGTAATATCGAGGGAATTTGAAGCAGACGAATTATTACTAATGTATACAAATTCACCGAAAGTGATGTGCATCACATTTTTATAAAAATCACGTGACTTAAGTACAAACTAAATGTTAGAAATCTGCTGGAATAAGGTAACTCTAAAATGGACTATTGAGTTGATATTAACTTGATATATCATATTCTATCTAAAGAATTAATATTAAGGTTGATTCATTTGTGTTTTTCCTTGAAAAAGTTGAAAAAGGTAATACATTAAATGGTGAAAAATTATACCATCCCGGTCCCGGTTGAATTTTTATAATATTGTTTAATGAAATAATAGTTTTATCGCATTATTTTACGGTTCTTTCTTACATTATTTTTTATTTAATATATTTTTAACTATGTAGAGCTTTTAGCATTCAATCTGGTATAAAACATTTAAATAAAAGTAATTTGTTTTATCACAAAAAGTATGATTATTAGTATTATGTTGATAATAAAAACGTCAAACGTGTGCAAAATGTATTTTTAATTTTTTAATTGTTTTCATGATATATTGAGCATTAAAACCATAAAAATTTAATTAATGCACAATAAATAATTCATATAATGATTTTTGTTGGTGAGAGATTCCTAGTTAAAAAGATATTTTTTAAAAAAAATATTGTACGAATAAATTAGACAATAAAAATATTTTATGTACATGTATATCTTAATTAATTGCAAATGTTTGTAAAGAAGGTAAATGAGTTGTAAACTGGCGACACAAAGGGAAGCAACTCGAAATTTGCAAAACGAAAGCGAAAAGGGGGTTGGGGTTTCCTGACTTATATATATCATAATTATATAAAAATAATAATAATAATTGGAATATTAAATGAAATTAACCTCTTGAAAATTTTTAAATACGTAAGCATGCTTTTTCTTTTCATATATTAGATTATTTTACAGACTAATTTTTACATATAACATATATTCTTATTTACTAAAAAGATCTGCATTGGTTGTTTATCACGCTTGCATAGGCGATAAGATCAGGTCGTGTATAAAAGGTATACACGACCACTAGTAACTAAATGTCAATCAATTTCTAGCACCCAATCCCAGACTTTAAATTCAGATTATTAAAGGGTTCACAGACCAGGTAAATTTGAATGCGGTGCTTACCCCCTCCCCCCCCCCCCCCCGTTGGAGACTGCTTTGTTAGAGTGCTTTGTTTATCTTTTTTCACTGACAAAAGTTATATATTAACAATTTCAGAAGCCATTGCAGGAAGAGGAAGTTGTGAAGGCCCTGATTGACAGGTCCACTACTTTGGACACCATGATTATTACGAAAATTCTGAGTGCAAGGAGTACCAACGCTTTCGGTGACTTTGAAGTGGACTATATATATGACCCAGCCGCCGTAACGATTGTAGAGGAGTAAGAAATCTGGTTTATTATACTCGCGCTTTCTAAAGAAAGTTCGGGTATATTGTTGTCATCCTGATCTGTCCTTTCGTCTGTTACACTTTCTTCTTCCTGAAATTCCTCATAGAATTCATCTTTTAGAATATGATAGGGAGTGTCCTGCAGATGTGCAATAAAGTTTCAGAGTTTTATTTCATCCTGGGGAGGGGGGGGGGGGTAAAATAGGAGTTGAAAAACTATGTTTCTTTGCTACAAAAACCTGTTTCTCAGAACTCATTTCATTCTACGCTGTAGTCAAATCATTTTCTGCAAGATAATTGGTGGTGTCCTTTAGATGTGCATTAAGATTTTGGAATTTTCATTTTCACACAGGGGGTTAAATGGGGGTCGAAAAACGATATTTTTACAGAAACCTAGTATCCAGAACTCCTTATGCATTTTACCCAGTAGACAAATCATCTTTTGGAGGGTAATTGTTGGTGTCCTGTAGATGTGCAATAAGGTTTTCGAATTTTCATTTTCACACTGGGGGCCAACTAGGGGTCGAAAACCGACGTTTTTCATTTTACAAAACCCTTTTTCCCTAACTCCTCTTATATATTATGCAGAGGTAATTTCATCTCTTGTAAGATGATAGGGGGTGTCCTGCAGATGTGCAAAAAGGTTTCGAAATTTTCATTTGCACCGTGGGGGCTAAATGGGTGTCAAAAAAATATTTTATTTCACAAAAACCTGGTTCAAAGAACTCCTCTTACATTTTACACTGTAGCCAACTCATTTTAACAAGATGAATCGAGGATGGGGGGGGTCTGTATTCGGAATTTTCATTTTGATCGGGGGGGGGGGCAATTGGAGGTGGAAAAAAGCCCGACGTTTTTCATTTGACAAAAACCCGGTTTCAAGAACTGCTCATATATTTAACGCAGAAGCCATTTCATCTTTTGCAAGAAGTGTCCTGCAGATGTGCAATAAGGTTTAATGTTCATTTTCACCCTGAGGGCTTAGTGGCAGGGAGAGGGGGAGTGGGTCGAAAAATGATGTTTTCAAGTTCTAATTTATGGCGATTTTCTTTTTTTCTCTTTACAGAAAAACATTTTTCTGAAACTCTTTTTCAGAAATCAGAATTTACTTCTTTACATTCTTTCAGACCGGTAATGAATTAATTATTTGAAATACTAACATAGAATGGTGAAGATAATGAACAGTGATCGATCCAAATAAAATCTACAAACAATTCAATACAAGAGCATGAGACACGGATCCCCAGAATTTCCAGAGGTGGGATCAGGTTCTCAGAAGGTGTAAGCATCCCATTTTGATTGGTCAAACCCACTGTGAATCCTATGTTTTGATCAGGTAGACGGAACATTCCTTAGTCAAATTTAGTAAAAAAACAAAGGCCTTACAATTGGATGAAACACGTCAGCCAAAATGCGACCCAATGATTATATTTGCTAACAAGGTCATTATAACAACCTTAGAATTTACGAAATGCTGACTTTAAATGAGATTGTTGATATCCTGTAGCATCAATTTATCTTTCAGTAACCCTTTCGGTTAAAACATTGATCGTATTCAGGGCATGCTTTTGAGTATCAAATAAGTTGGGAGATGTAAACACCATAAGAGAACCATGGTCATATGCTCACCTGTGCATTTAATGCTCATTTAAATACATGTATACATATTTTATGTAAATTGTAACTTCTTCGCTACCCAGGTACAAGAGAGCTAGCATGCATCTAGAGGAAACACTTAAATGTGGGTATTACTGTCTTTGACAGTTGGTTCTTGTGAAGAATTCAAAAGGCGGTATCATTTCATCAGAAAAAATTAATCTACTAATGATAAATCAGAAACAAAATCAATTATAATATGGGAAAACGCTTTTTGTCGGTCAATATTGGAAATTAATTGACCGTCAAAAGGGAATAGGAATAGCTAATATCAATTATGTTGACTTTTTTTCTGTATAGAGCTTTCCTCTACTGAATATAACAACCAAATACATTGACTATTTATTATACAGTGTTCCTCTGGAAATCTTATTTAGTCCTGAACATTTAGGAAGCCAACTGTATACGTATATGATGCAGTAAGCTCTGAGCTCTATATCAAACTCTGAAATTTGTGTTAAAGTGAGGGAGAATCTAAGTTGATCATTTATTTTAAATGCATTATATTAATTTCCGAATCTATATACTATACTCCTCAACATCTAGAAGACAATATTACATAAAAGCATCTAGTAGACAAGTTTCAAGTAACTTGATATTGAATCTCAAAGTCTTTACCAAACTGTAAAATTCTTGTGACAGTAGTACAGAGTTCCAGTCCCAGTTGGGACTGAGTTGGTCAAAGCCAGAGGAATCTCAGGCGAATACCAAGGTCCATGAGCTTCTCATTCAAGAAAAATACACATATACAGAAACACATGTATATGTTCTAAGTTAGAAAAAAGTTAGGCTAAAAATCACTGTGTTGAAGTGTATAGAAATTAACGTTAACTACCTCACGTGTCTGAATTTGTTAAGTAAAGAAAATGTTTTTATTTTTTACAGATTCAGAAAAGATTTGAAAAATATTAGTTCAAAGATCCATGAAAGAAATAAGAAGTTGGTGAGAGTGTATGAATATCTTCTGCCAGAGGAAATCCCAAATTCCATCAGCGTGTGATTCCGTATGACATATGAAAAAGTGTCCTATATGAACACTCATCTGTATTTTTTTTTAAAATTCTTTTTACAAACCATTCTTCTAGCATCAATTGTGTATTCATATTTCAATATTGCTTTGGTAATGCAAATTTCTTGTATATTTCTCTTAGAGACATATAGTATGGTGAATTGTATTAACTAAACAATACTTGTTTTGATAAAGTAAATAAAAGTTTTTTGAAATTCTTAAATTTAATTTAAAGTATAAATTTAATCAAGTACATGGCGGTTTCAGACCACAAGAAGGTTTTATATATTATGTAATCACTGTTTACATATCAATCATATTCATAATTCGACTTCATTCTGTTGTGAATTTTTGATACAGATAATAAGAAGTTGATTAATAATTTTATGGATTTCTTGACCAATTATTACATAATTAATTACAAGTAATTTCTATAATTAAAGTCACATTAGTGGCAAAGTGCAACATACCTAAGTGTTTTGTTGTTTATGAAAATGGAGAGTGAAGGCGGTTTCTCAAAATTCTGCGATAGTACAATAACTGTGAGTTGGGTTCATGAGAGTACACGGAAATGTTAAAGAATGAGAAGTTCCACAGATTTGTTATTTTATCAAACTGAATTTGCATTGGCAATTGTACATAAAAGTTTTTTGAAATTCTTATTACTTTCAGAAAATTTTATTATTTTACAAAGAAACCAAGTTTATAAACCTGGTGACTTCTACAATGTTGATAATTTTTGGTTCCTTTTAATTTTTATTTATTATTATTTTTTGTTTGCATTTATCTGTATATTTTTACACTATGTGATGTGGAAAAGGTACATCAAAGCACAACGTAGCCATGATAGGTACACCATACTAAGTTATGGAATACTTACCTCCTTGTAACGCAATACCAAATTTTACCCAGTTTATTTTTTTGTGGAAAGATCTAGTTTTTTGTTTGTTTGTTTTTGTTTTGTTTTTTGCAAAAGCGCCCCAAAAAATATTTGAAAAGAAACAAAATCGTGTTTTCTCAGGCTGTGAGAGTACAAATTTAATAGTTAGATATTCTTATGTGTCATTTTAAATTGTTGCAAGTAAGCTGACATAGTTTGATGCTTTTGTGAAACATACTTTTGTGAGTGTACAATCAGCTACATGTACACTTATCACTACCACTGTTCTTGCTCAGACGAATTCCACGTAGTCTTCCATCGCGCTACACTGTTTTACAGCTCTCCTACGCCAACCCCTTTAAATCACTAAATTAAGTAGATAAAGTAAGCAGCATCATTTACAAACAGTGATAAATAGAATCGAATTTCTTGTAAATATGGAAATCAGACTATAACGTAATGAAAATTACAGAGATTCTAAGCACCAGTGATGCAGAATTTGTTTTTAAGGTCATAGTATAAAAGCTGAAAGAGGTGCACTTTATTTTCAGTTTTTTAAAAACTGGGAAACACATAGCAAGAGTTCTTTATCAAAGACAAAATTTGCTTACTAGTGTGCCATATCAAATTAAACTTAAGAAGAAAAACCGACACATATTTCAAGTTTTTATAATGGTTTATTGGCGGTTATGGCCACGGCTGCACTCGTAACTGCAAGTACAAAGAATGGAAACAGTTCCAAGGTGAACCCTGGGAACAGACGAACACCTGGAAATTAAAATAATGATCATGTTCTTTAATACTTTCTGAATAAAATTAATTGAAAATTCCAGGTGAGCACTACTGGTAAGCTGAATATCCGCCACTAGTCTGCGCCACCAGTAGAGCTAACCCCCCTTAAGCCTTAAACACCAAAACCTCTGACATAGTGAAACTAGTATGATGAACCTTTGAATAATCAAAAACACCTAATTAATTTGCTACCTATAGGGCCTGATAAACAAAAACGCTGTGAACACGTCATCACTCGGTGAACACTTTGCGGCAACACAAATGGGAGCCAGCAACAATTTTGCTTTATTAGGGCATCCCAACAAAGACAGTGTCACATCATCAATCAGTGAACACCAAACCACAACATGCAAATGGGAGCCAAACATTCTCCCCAAAACCAAAAAAACCGTGTCACATCATCAATCAGTGAACACCATAAGGCACAACATGCAACTAAAACGCTGTGAACACATCATCACTCAGTGAACACTTTGCGGCAACACAAATGGGAGCCAGCAACAATTTTGCTTTAATAGGGCGTCCCAACAAAGTCAGCATTACATCATCAATCAGTGAACACCAAACCACAACATGCAAATGGGAGCCAAACATTCTCCCAAAGCAAGAAACCGTGTCACTTCATCAATCAGTGAACACCAAAAAACACAACTTGCAAGTGGGAACCCACAACTTTTACTCATATGGGCATCCCACTCAGACAGTGTCACATCGTCAACAATACCAAGCCACAAATTCAACTGGATGCCAGCAACGATTTTGCTTTGTGTGGATTCCCACACAATTCATTGAACAAATCATAAATCGATGAATACATTTCAACAGGAATTGGGAGCCAGCAACAACTTGCTAATATTAAAGCACCCCAGCAAAATTTGATAACATAAATTGATACAAGGCAATGCAAAAAGGGGAAATGCAGCATACATTAGCAACAATAATATCCTAAGCCAACTAAGAAAGATGGTTACCAAAACCATGCCCCGACTGAGCTAGAAATTAAAATATAAGCATAATCAACAATATAGCAAAGCGTAACTGTCAATACTTCCTATTTCAAATTGTTTTGATATTAACCGATACCCTAACATATAAGTCATAAACACTTGGACTTCAAGAATAATACAGCCATGGTCCATGATCGCCGACCTTTGGGGTTACTGATATTTCAGGATTCGTTAAGAAATATTGCAACGATTGCTGTATTCTATGAAGAAATAAGCTATTGCCCAAGAAGTGTAGGTGAACTTGGTCTTTGAAAAGATAAGGATTTGCATCTCTGAGCTCTGGATATCTAATGTACTTCCCCCCAAGTTTAAAGATGTTGGTTGCTACAAAGCTATTTAGACGTACTCTAGCTCTCTCTAATGCTAAATGGTCCACCTCCCCGCGCCAATGTAGCCTGGGTAGAACTTGTGACCAGACTAATGTAGTTTCGGGTAACAGCTTCTGTATTTTTATTAGACCTCTTTTAATACTATTGCGAAGCATTACGCATTTACCGTCTTGTCCAATGTCACCCCCTCCCCCCCCCCCCACAGTGTATTACGAGATAGTGGGGTGGGTCTTCAATTTTCAATAGAGTCCGTACTTTGGTGTAGACTTGGTTCCATTTCATACCCCCCTTCCCTTGCCAAAATACTGAAGCATTGTGTCTAATTAACTGGAGATTTGCCCCAAATGAGGAAGAACGGGCATGCAAAAAGGCATGCTTCATAAGTGAGGATCCTAAAATCCAAATTCTCTTGTGATCTACAATGACATGCATGATTTGTTATTAAAGACCAGAAAATGATTACATGTAAGTGTGCCCTGTTATAAATACTAACACCCCAACAAAACAGGTTACCCTAATTAACACCTTATATATTTATACAGACATTTAGATTTCCACCTGCCCCCCTTTGCAATTTGATCCTCCCCTTTGCATTGAACCCAAGCTTCTGTAGCTACCCCTATACGAAAGGAATGTGCCTTGTATGCTTGGGTATCTAACCCTAAATTGGCAATAAGCATAGAGAATACTGCCATGACCTGATATTTTATAACCGGGGTCCCATCGGCATGGCAAAAGAAAGAGCCAAGTTGCTGTGGTCTAACTCTCATAAATGCTTTTAGTGACTGCACTGGACATATGATCTTAGATATTGGTATTAAATTTATGATTGCACCCTTGCCTTCTTGGTCAGTCTTTGAATGGCTAAGATAAATTTGAATGCTATTGCTAGATTTTGAATACTTAACATCCTGAATTTGAATAGCATGTCCTACTTCCCTACAGCTGTTTTGGACAAGCTCCCCCATTCTGAAGTACCCAAAAAAGCAGTGGTGAAGATAGCAGAGAAAAGAGTAGCCTCATATTGTAAAGGACAAACTACCGGAAGCCTGTCAAGCATTTTGTGAAGTATATCCTTAGTAATGGGCTTGCGATTGTCCGACTGATTCTTAGAGCGGCAAAGGCCTGACAGTGTTTTCAGAACTACAAAAGACTGCGTTATGTCTGGGATGCCTGATATTTTACAGTAATAGGAAATTGCTATTAAATACGATCTAACTGTGCTACAACTATATTGGCGAAGTGACAAAAATGCAATAAATTGTGACAGTTGTTGTGTGGTCGGGGGCCAGGATATCTGATGGTTGTAAGTCGTTCTAAATGCATTAAACATGTGTATGCCCGAGCTGTACAATTTTTTTCGTATTATCAGCTAAGGACTGGTTTAACAGGACTTGAGATCTATGCTGTAGTTCTGTTGCTGAAATGCGAGGGGTACCTCCGTTTGCTTGTCTGCGTCCGGAAGTGACTCTTTGAACCTTGACCATTGCTGTCGGGAAAGAGAGTCCGCTTTAACATTTTTCACACCACTATGTGTTCCCTCCTAAATAAAATGTTATGTAATAATCCTTGCAAGACTAAGGGTCTAAGTAATTGCATGATTTGCTTAGATTTTGATGTCTTGGAATTCAATATTGATACCAGGGCTTTGTTGTCAGTGTGTAAAATGACCTTTTTCCCTTGAAATTTATCACCCCAAATGGTAAAAGCCATAACAATAGGTACTAGCTCTAAAAATGTGACCTGTTTAAATATATTTGAATGCCTCCATTTCTTTGGCCACACCATGTAAGCCCAGTGGGACTCAAAGATGGCCCCACACCCCAAGTCTGCATGACCAGCACTGTCTGTGAACAACTGGGGGTCAAAGTCTGTAGTCCAGTCGACTGTCTGATAAGAAGTCACCCCGTTGCATAAATCTAGAAATAACAACCAAGTGCATGTGGATGTCTTGTTTCATGTCAGCTGAAACCCTACGTCGGTGATAAGGCCTCGTCAAGCCACGAGTAGCATCGTACAGTCTACGAACAAATGCCCTGCCTGATGGTATAGTCCTAACACAAAAATTTAACAACCCTGTTTGCCTTTGCGATTCCATGAGGGTAGCCTTCTTTTTAGCCAACATAGCCTTCAACTCAGTCTTAAGTTGACACAATTTTTCATGTGGGATTTTGATTGTCATGTTAATAGTATCAATTTCTAATCCAAGAAAAGTCAAAACTGAAGTAGGACCTATTGTTTTTTCCTGAGCCAGTTGAACACCCAGGTCTGTGCAAATTGAACTAAAACACGACATACGATTTGCACAGTCCTGAGTGCCTGCTCGCCCTGCTAACAAAAAATCGCCCAAGTAGTGTACAATGTTGCTACTTCTTGACTTTTCCCTTAGGGCCCACTCTAGAAATGTTGAAAATTTTTCAACTTTGCGCAGCTTATTGCACAACCAAAAGGTAAAGACATA